GGTAGGGGCGCCAGATTCTGTCCCGGTTGCCCCTCTTCCAGGCCAGCCCTCTGCTGTGGCCAGGGAGTGCAGTGGAGGATGGCCCAGGTGCTTGGGCCCTGCACCCCATGGGAGACCAGGAAAAGCACCTGGCTCCTGGCTCCTGCCATCGGATCAGCGCGGTGCGCGGGCCGCAGCGCGCCGGCCGCGGCGGCCATTGGAGGGTGAACCAACGGCAAAAGAAGACCTTTCTCTCTGTCTCTCTCTCTCACTGTCCACTCTGCCTGTCAAAAAAAAAAAAAAAAAAAAGAGAGTAAGTGGGGGGGAGGGGACAGTGCTGTGGTGTAGCAGGTAAAGCCGCTGCCTGCAGTGCCTGTATCCCATATGGGCGCTGGTTTGAGTCCTGGCTGCTCCACTTCTGATCCAGCTCTCTGCTATGGCCTGGGAAAGCAGTGGAAGATGGCCCAAGTCCTTGGGCCCCTGCACCTGCATGAGAGACCTGGAAGACACTGCTCACTCCTGGCTTCAGATCGGCTCAGCTCTTCTCACTGCAGGCAGTTGGGGAGTGAACCAGCAGATGGGAAGACTCTCTCTCTCTCTCTCTCTCTCTCTCTCTGCCTCTCATTCTCTCTGTGTAACTCTGACTTTCAAAGAAATAAATAAATCTTAAAAAAGTAACAGGGTATCTATTTTTGATTAGGAATTGATGTTAAACTAGGTTCTAAAGAATGGACAAGAGCTTAACAGACAAAGTTTTAAAAAACTTGGGTATTGCCAGCGCCATGGCTCACTAGGCTAATCCTCCGCCTTGCGGCGCTGGCACACCGGGTTCTAGTCCGGTCAGGGCACCGGATTCTGTCCCGGTTGCCCCTCTTCCAGGCCAGCTCTCTGCTGTGGCCCGGGAGTGCAGTGGAGGATGGCCCAAGTGCTTGGGCCCTGCACCCCATGGGAGACCAGGATACGTACTGGCTGCTGCCATCGGATCAGCACGGTGCGCCGGCCACAGTGCACCAGCCATTGGAGGGTGAACCAACGGCAAAGGAAGACCTTTCTCTCTGTCTCTTTCTCTCACTGTCCACTCTGCCTGTCAAAAAAAAAAAAAAAAAAAAGAAAGAAAAAACTTGGGTATCAGCTAGAGGTAATAAACTGTGAGAGCTTGAACTGAGAAAAAGCGAGGCAGATCTATCATACTGAAAGAAACCCAGTGTCATTAGACTGAATTAAGGGGTAACGGTGTAAGAGAAGGTTGCGAAAATAGGAAAGGTCCAGACATCATAGCCCCTCAGAGACCTTAGAGTTTTAGTCTAAACATAGTATGTCAGAATTTTAAGCATAGAAATGGCATGAAGGATCACCGTTGAATGAAACATGGTTGCAGTAGAATCCCAATCCCTGTTGTCCACAGGTGAGAGAGAATGGTGACTTGACTAGGTTAGAGACTCAGAGACGCAGTGAAGGATGATGGTCAGGTACATTCTGGAAGTATTTCTCTGGGATGGACTTGGTAGTTGAAGTAAGGGAGGGAAAGTTGTTAATAACACCTTATGTTATTATTATTACTATTTATTATGTTACATTATGCCATCGATAGAAATGTGGGAGCCTGGGTTAGCTCCAGGTTGTGGGGAAAAGTTTGAGATATCTTACACATCTTGGAGATGAAGAATAGACAGATGGATAAATCTGGAACTTAGAGGAGTATCTGGGCTAGAGGTACAACTGTGGGAGTCTTAGCATTTAGTAAATTTTTTTTTTTTTATTTGGAAACAGAGATAGACAGAGCTCCTATATGCTGGCTCATTCTCCAGATCCCACAATGGCTGGGACTGGGCTAGTGCCTGAGCCAGGAGCTGGGAACACAGACCAGGTCTCTCATGTGGATGGCAGGAATCCAATTACTTGAGCCATCTCTGCCACCTCCCAGGTTCTGCCCCACATCGACAAGAAGGTAGAGTCAGGAGCCAGAGCTGGGTATCAAACCCAGGTACTCCAGTATGGGATGCAGGTACCGCAACTGTTAGGCCAAGTGCACACTCCCAACCTTGGCATTTAAGTGGATAGTTTGCTGGCTGTCACACAACTGATATACAATAAATGTTCCTTAATGGGCTTACTTTGATTTTTCTCATGGTTGGAAAACTGGAAACCTTTCAAATAAAAATTTTTAATTTTCAAAATAGAAACCAAATAGTTCAACCTTCCATTATTCTTTAGCCTTTATCCCATCTTTCAGTCTTTCCGTCCCACTTAGTTCCAAATCCCAGTCCTTGGCTCTGCCTCTTTTTTCCATATCACCTAATCTCCATATCACTTTTTCTGAATTACTTGATGCCAACTGACTTTTATACACACCAGTAATGAAATTAGTGCAAGTTAGGCAGCTGTGTTCTCCTTAATTCCTAGTTGTCCCTCTTCTTGTGGATTGATTCCAATAAGAGAGAAGATGTTTATCACTACGGTCTAGGGCAGTGTATGAATTTTCTACTTTAAAGCAACTAGAGTTTCTTTTCATCATCTTTGCTTTGTTATCCTGCATCTCATTGGAAAAAGAAGCATAGGTCATAAGCTCTGGGTCACTGTGGGGCTTGTTTAGCTCTAGATAAGCCTTTTTCTCTGTAATAGAATAAGGTATTATCTTCAGCCATGTAGCAGCTGCCCTAAACATGAAGAACATTTTCCAAGAGGCCACGGAAATTAGTAAAACCTCTACAAAGTGGTGTCATGTAGGATCTACATTATTTACAGATTGATCACCAGTCGAAACCATTGTTCTAAAACTGGAGTTTCTTCTTTCACTGGGATCTTTTTTTAGTTTTCTCCCTTCTTACTCTCTTGCAGTGACTTAGAGTCCCGAAGAGATGTGAAAAGAGAAGAAGGAGAGGCCTTTGCTCGGGAGCATGGTCTTATTTTCATGGAAACTTCAGCCAAAACAGCCTGCAATGTTGAAGAGGTACTGTTTGGAAAATTGTGTGGAAAGCTCTTCAGAGATTACACTATTATCTTTGTCCTTTATTTCAGAATTCTCTTCTACGGCATGGATAAAGAAAGGATGTCTTGTGGTCATAGTGACCAAATGACTCCTTTAAAGGGAATTGTCCTATTTTGTTAATCCTGATTCCTAAGGTTTTACTATTACTTTGGGTAACATTGATTTATACATGAGATTAGATACCACTATTTCTTAGAAATACTTAACTGGAGGGTCTAATGGGCCCTATTATAGTCCTTTGTGGGCCTGGTGTTGACTATAACTCCAGTAAGTAATGGAGAAGAGAGCTTGTTATATTGGCAGAGGGTGCCAACATAAGATTCCTGGGAATGTTTTAGTTCAGAACCATATAATCTCCTTTCCTTTTTTGAAACTGCTTTGGATGTCTTTTACAGGGACTTTTGGGGGGCCTTCGGTAGTTTTACTCTCCTCTAATGGCTCCTAATACACATAAAAATTCCAGTTAAGAATAACATTTGCATTCTGTTTCCCTAGCTAAATTTAAGACTGATTATATGATTTATGTTTTCTTCAGGCCTTTATTAACACAGCCAAAGAAATATATAGGAAGATCCAGCAGGGTTTATTTGATGTCCACAATGAGGTGAGAAAGCATGGGGAGACTGGCAGTTAATTTTGATTTGTTAACACAACTGGATGCTTCCTCAAATGTAAACATTCCCCATCTAACATCATACAATTTGTAGCTTTGCCAATTACAACTTTTTAAAAGAGTATTTATTTGTTCATTTGGTTCACTCCCTAAATGCCCACAATAACCTGGTCAGGTTGAAACCAGGAGCCGGGAACTCGATCTGGGTTTCCCACGTGGGTGGTAGGGATCCAACTATTTGAGCTCTCACCTGCTTCCTCCCATGGGGAGTATTAACAGGAAGCTAGAACTGGGAGCAGAGCCGGGAGTCTAATTAATGCACTGATATGGTATCCAAGTGTCTTAACTGCTATGCCAAATGCCTGCCCCCAGTTCCATTCTCTTTTTAATGTAGGTCCATAGAAATCTGTCATTTCTTTTTTCTGTTTTTCCTCAAGTCTCAGACCTAGAACATTTATTAGTTAAGTTGTTGTAAGTTAAGGCTTATACTATATGGTAAGTTTTCTTTGCAAACTCAGTTTCTTTTTTTTTTTTTTTTTTTTTTTTTTTTTTTTTTTTTTTGACAGGCAGAGTGGACAGTGAGAGAGAGAGACAGAGAGAAAGGTCTTCCTTTGCCGTTGGTTCACCCTCCAATGGCCGCCGCGGCCGGCGCGCTGCGGCCGGCGCACCGCGCTGATCCGATGGCAGGAGCCAGGAGCCAGGTGCTTTTCCTGGTCTCCCATGGGGTGCAGGGCCCAAGCACCTGGGCCATCCTCCACTGCACTCCCTGGCCACAGCAGAGGGCTGGCCTGGAAGAGGGGCAACCGGGACAGAATCCGGCGCCCCGACCGGGACTAGAACCCGGTGTGCCGGCGCCGCAAGGCGGAGGATTAGCCTAGTGAGCCGCGGCGCCGGCCTAACAAACTCAGTTTCTTACATCCCAGAGCATGAGAAAGGTGTGGCTCTTAATTGCTGAGGAGGACCATTACTATAAAGCAAATTCCAGGGTAACACAAACAGAATAACTTGCTCATGTGCTGCTTCTACTCTTTTGCCTTTTTTTATTGTTACTCTAAATATATCCTAATTCTGCACAGAGCTAGGAAACTGAAGGATACTGTACCTTAAAAGGAAGAACAGGGTTTAGTGGCTTAGTCCTTAAGAAGTCATCACTGATGCCTGCATCAAATATCCAGTGCCTAGGTTCGAGTCCTGATTCAACTGATGACTCCAGCTTCCTGGGAGGTAGCAGGTGATGGTCAGGTGGTTGGGTCTCTGCTGCTCACTTGGGAGATACTCACTGGTTGCAGGCTTCTGGCTCAGTCTGGTCCAGCCTTGGCTATTGCAGGCATTTGGTGAATAAGTCAGTCGTTGATAGATTTTTTTTTTATCTCTTTCTTCTGTGTTGCTGCCTCTCACATTCATGCAAATATACACATGTAAATGTGTAAGTATATATCTATAATTATATATACATAAGCAAAAGCCACTTGTTATTTTTTTTTTTTTAGATTTATTTATTTATTTGAGAGGCAGAATTAGAGAGAGAGAGACAGAGAGAGAGAGATTATTTGCTGGTTCACTCGCCAAATGGCCACAATAGCCAGAGCTGGGCTGATCTGAAGTCAGGAGCCAGGAGCTTCTTCCAGGTCTCCTACATGCGTGCAGGAGCCCAAGCACATGGGTCCTCTTCCACTGCTTTCCTAGGCCATAAGCAGAGAGCTGGATCAGAAGAGGAGCAGCTGAGACATGAACCAGTGCCTGTATGGGACAGCACTGCTCCTAAGCAAAAGCCACACCACAGTGCTGGCCCCAAGCAAAAGCCATTTCTAGTCAACTATGATTCCTATGCTACAGCTAGTCATCTTATCCTTAATATCATAAATTATTGTTCAGTAACAAGTTGTATAGGGCACATGGGTACTTGACAATTAGAAAACATACTTAATGATTTCTCTTATATCCCTCTCCTTTCGCCCATTCACTTTAGCACTGAGATGCTTCTTTTCTTTTACAGGCAAATGGCATCAAGATTGGTCCCCAACAGTCAACTTCAACATCAGTGGGACCCAGTTCCTGCCAGCGGAATCGCGACATAGCGTCCAGCTCTAGCTGCTGCTGAACATCAGATCTGAACTCTTTTTTTTTTTTCCTTCCTGAAACAGCTTCAGATCAATAGGTTTAAAGAAAGAGGTCTTACTTGCTTTGACTGACAGCAGCCTCTTTTCAAGGTGTGATGTTTTGCCTTTCCACTTAAAGACCAGGGGAGAATTGGGGCTATTACTGACCTGTCCTTCTTCGGGGACGTGACCATTCCCTAGAGATTAGGGCTCCTTTCATCCTCCTATTTTAATTTCCAGAATGCTAGGATCAAGTTGATTGTCATAGTAGTTCAAAAATAAATAATTTCATCACCATATACCATCTGCTCCCCACCAAGAATTAGTAAGAAGGGTCAAGGATATTCTTGAACACATGAGATTACTGGGATCTGGCTGGCCTTTGGATAATAGATCATCTGCCTAGGAATTGCATTGAGTTTTTCTACTCGTTGCCTTTGGGGAGGTCTGTTTGCCACTTCATAGAGTTCTTGCAGAAAGGAGTTTCTTCTCCCTGCTCAAGGACACTGAGTACTTTTCTACTCCCCTTTCACTAGTTTCTTCAAGAGCAACAGAATTGGTCCTGGCCCTAGGACCTCTCATTACCTAAAGAAAATACTCATTCCCTGTTCGTTTTGTTTTAGAGACCAAATCTAACATTGCAGTGTCTTTCACCAAATTGACCTGTATTGTTTGATCACACTGTAACTAGACCTGCACTTTCTACTTTAATCAAGCTAATCTGCTTACTGACATGACACATTTATTCTTACTTGCATACCTTTACACATGCCCTGTCTCCACTAACATTATAATTACAAGTCCAAAAAGTTTGCCTTTAGGAAGCCTTCAATGACCTGAGACCTTCTAAGCAGTTATTGACGAAGTATCCCTTAGCTTTCATATATTAGTTATTTATATGTATATTCATATATATATATTTATTTATTTGTATGTACGTTACTTTGTAAATACATTTTGTAGTTGTTCTTTGTGTAGAATCTGTCTCCCCATGCAAGTTGTAAGCTCTGTGAGAGCAGCATTCATGTCATCCTTTATTTTTATAAAACATTCTTCCCACCATTCCTTCACAGTGCATAGTGCTACTCATTATGTGATCATTGAATTTATTTTAGACTTCAGAGGAAACAAAAGGCCTTAGAGTCATCTCTTTGTAATTTCTCTCTGTCTCTTCCGTCTGTTTATCCTTGGGTTCTATTTTGTTCTCCTATCCTCTCTTGCCTTTCTCTGACTCTGCCTGTATTCCATAAAGCATACAGTAAGACTGCCTACTTCCACACAAATAGATGGGGATTTCTCCAGCTATTCTCTTCCTTTTCAGAGAATATAATACTATCCTAGCCACATTTGCCTTTGCTTATCTCATCATACAGCATTCTGGGGCAGTTACTATGTCTTTTTTATTTAATGTTCCATTCTCTTCCACAGCACTTAGGTCTCATGAGTTTTTAAATCTTTTGTTGTTAAATGAATTATTTCATTATTAAAATATGCATGTATACAAACTGCTGATAGTCCATGTGTCATTTTTTATTTCATTCTCGACACAAGTAGATACTGTCCTCTAGGAGATTATATAAAAAATATGGAGAAAGCCTTTTTAAAATTTTTAAAATAATAGGATGTTTGGGGGCTGGTGCTGTGGCGTAGCAGGTAAAGCCACCGCCTGCAGTGCCAACATCCCATATTGGCGCCACTTTGAGTCCCAGCTGCTCCACTTCTGATCCAGCTCTCTGCTATGGCCTGGGAGAACAGTAGAAGATGGCCCAGGTCCTTGGGCCCCTGCACACACATGGGAAGACCCGGAGGAAGCTCCTGGCTCCTGGCTTCAGTTCGGTGCAGCTCTGGCCATTGCAGCCAATTGGGGAGTGAACTAGCGGATAGAAGACCTCTCTCTCTCTCTCTCTGCCTCTGCTTCTCTGTGTAACTCCGACTTCAAATAAAAAAAAAATCTTTAAAAAAAAAAAAGGATGTTTGTTTTATTTATTTGAAAGGCAGAGTGACAGAGAGATCTTCCTTTTGCTAGTTCACTCCCCTTAATGGCCACAACAGCTGGGGCTGTGCTGGGCCAAAGCCAGGAGCCTGGAATGCCATCTGGATCTGCCTCAGGGGTGGAGGGGCACAAGCACCTGGGCAATCTGCTACCTTCCCAGGCACAGTAGTAGGGAGCTGGATTGGAAATGAAGCAGCCAGGACTTCAACTAGTGCTCCAGTGTGGGATGCCAGTGTTGCAAGAAGTATCTGGATAAATTCCCATGGCCTTTATTCTGAGTGAAGTGGTCATGAATGATTATAGAAAGTGGATTTTCGCGGCTGGCGCCGTGGCTCACTAGGCTAATCCTCCGCCTGCGGCGCCGGCACACCAGGTTCTAGTCCGGGTTGGGGCGCCAGATTCTGTATTGGTTGCCCCTCTTCCAGGCCAGCTCTCTGCTGTGGCCCAGGAGGGCAGTGGAGAATGGCCCAAGTGCTTGGGCCCTGTACCCCATGGGAGACCAGGAGAAGCACCTGGCTCCTGCCTTCAGATCAGCCTTCGGATCAGTGTGGTGCAGCAGCCATGGCGGCCATTAGAGGGTGAACCAACAGCAAAAGGAAGACCTTTCTCTCTCTCTCTCTCTCACTGTCCACTCTGCCTGTCAAAAAAAAAAAAAAAAGTGGATTTTCTACCCTCTTGCACAGAATAACAGTTACCAGATAACCTGAGTGTTGATGGAAGTTTGAAAGCCAGGACCATTCAAAATCATACTATCTATAGCAAAAGATCAGTGTGCTAGGTCAGACACACCCTTTTCCCTTTCTATAATGCCTACAGTTCCTTTGAGGGCAGGTGTTCTGTGCCAGGTAATACCCAGAGGATAACAGGCTCTCATCCTAGAATCTATTGGTGATCATATCTGTATGATAATCAAAATGCTCATGGAAAATGAAATTAGGCAGGTGCTGTGGAGTAGGTTAAGTAACTGCCTGCCACACCAGCATCCCCTATGAGTACCAGTTTGACTCTCGGCTGCTCCACTTCCCATGCAGCTTCCTGTTGATGGCCTGGGAAAGCAGTAGAAGATAGCCCCAGTGCTTGGGTGCCTGCACCTGTGTGGGAGATCCAGAAGAAGCTCCTGGCTCCGGATAGGATCAGTTCCAGCCGTTGAGGCCATTTAGGAGCTGAACAGTGGATAGAAGGCTTCTCTGTCTTCCCCTCTTTCTGTCTGCAACTCTGCCTCTCAAATAAATCTTAAAAAAAGAAAATGGGGGGCCAGCACTGTGGCTCAGCAGGTTAATGCCCTGGCCTGAGGCGCCGTCATCCCATATGGGCACCGGTTCTAGTCCTGGCTGCTCCTCTTCTGATCCAGCTTTCTGCTGTGGCCTGGGATAGTAGTGGAAGATGGCTAGGAAGAAGCTCCTGGCTCCTGGCTCCTGGCATCGAATCAGCACAGCTCTGTCCATTGTGGCCATCTGGGGAGTGAACCATTGGATGGAAGACCACTCTCTCTCTCTCTCTGCCTTTCCTCTCTCTGTGTAACTCTGACTTTCGAATAAATAAGGAGTGCAGTGGAGGATGGCCCAAGTGCTTGGGCCCTGCACCTCATGGGAGACCAGGAAAAGCACCTGGCTCCTGGCTCCTGCCATCGGATCAGCGCGGTGCACCAGCCGCAGCGCGCTGGCCTCGGCGGCCATTGGAGGGTGAACCAACGGCAAAGGAAGACCTTTCTCTCTGTCTCTCTCTCTCACTGTCCACTCTGCCTGTCAAAAAAAAAAAAAAAAATGCAATTTCTATGAACTGTTTAAAGATCCATCATATATGTATTTACAAACATGTTTTGGTAAATCTTAGTACCTCAAATTTGATAGGCAGCAGTGGCCAGCAGAGAATTTTGCCAACAGATTTTGATAAAAGTATAGAAAAATGTGTTTGGCCATGGCCTACCACCTTTCTGATAAAACAGACTGCTATGACTCCTAATGTTTCTGAGCTCCTATATGTTAAATCCATGTGATTACATTACACCTTCAGAAATTTCTTAGGAGCCCCTTCACTCAAGAATTTAAAAAACAAAGAACCCAATTTGTTTCAAGTTATAATAACAGAAGAGATTTACACTAGGAAAGACAGGAAAACCTTTCTCATTAAGTGCAATAGAATTTCACCCACAATGGAATTATTTCCCTTACAATTTTTTTTTTTTTTTTTTTTTTTTTTTTTTTTTTTTTGACAGGCAGAGTGGACAGTGAGAGAGAGACAGAGAGAGAAAGGTCTTCCTTTTGCCGTTGGTTCACCCTCCAATGGCCGCCGCTGCAGCCGGCGCACCGCGCTGATCCTGGCAGGAGCCAGGAGCCAGGTGCTTTTCCTGGTCTCCCATGGGGTGCAGGGCCCAAGCACCTGGGCCATCCTCCACTGCACTCCCTGGCCATAGCAGAGAGCTGGCCTGGAAGAGGGGCTACCGGGACAGAATCCGGTGCCCCGACCGGGACTAGAACCCGGTGTGCCGGCGCCGCAAGGTGGAGGATTAGCCTATTGAGCCACGGCGCCGGCTCCCTTACAATTTTAAAGTAGTTATTAGAAAATTGCTGTCTCCAGTAGGTTTTTTTTTTTTTTTTTTTTTAAGATTTATTTATTTGAGTTACACAGAGAGGTCCTCCATCCACTGATTCACTCCCCCACCCAAATGGTTGCAACGGGCAGAGCTGCACCAATCCGAAGCCAGGAGCCAGGAGCTTCTTCAGGGTCTCCCACGCTAGTGCAGGGGCCCAAGGACTTGGGCCTACCTCAGAGTAGGCCACAGCAGAGCTGGATCAGAAGTGGAGCGCCTGGGCTTCGAACCGGCGCCCATATGGGATGCCACCGCTTCAGGCCAGGGCGTTAACTCGCTCTGCTGCGCCACAGTTTCTAAAGTTGTCACCTAACGGTCCTCCTTCTTAGATACCAGTATAATTTTTCCCATAAATCCTTTATCATTTGCCTTATTTATATTCACAAGTAGTTTGGCTCTATTGATGAGTTTTAAACCTTTTAAATAATAAGTAAATAAAATCTTCCCTGAATCAGGGCTCTCTGTATTGCCAAAGTCAGAACACTGGAAAATTTGCAAGTAAAGCAAACTCCCAGAATAGATACACAACCTATGTCGGTCATATGTTGATAATCCCAGAGGTATGAGGTGTCTAAAAAATTACCCTAGAGACTGGTTCACACCCGTCCTCATTCCAAGAATTAATTTTTGCCTCGTTGATAAAACCGCTTCTCTCCTACAGATAGGTGGGAGGCGAGCGCTGGCTGCCTCTAACCACGTTTAGCATCATTCCAGAGCGCCTCCTCACGACTGCGGGACATCCTGCCTGCAGGAGCGTGCGGGGTCCGGAGCTCAGGCGCGGGACGGAACGCCGAACAGGCCTTCCCATTCTTTTAAGGCGCTCCTGCCCCCTCCCCGCCCCAAGGCAGCAGCCGATCCAAGATGGCTTCCCCGAAACAGGCAACTGAGTGTTGTTTTAGGTTAGAGCGCCCCCAACGGCGGGGGCCAAAAAAAAAAAAAAAAAAAGGGACGCCCAGAGGCCTGGCAGCCGGTGAACTGAGCCGTCAGCGCCGATCTGCCGCCAGATTTTATTTCCAATCAGGCATATCCGTGGCTGCCTACGTACCCTACTCAGCCTTCTAGGCCCTCCCACTCTCAAGAGACTTCCTGGATGGCGCTCACCCTAGCCCGCTGGAAGAGGCTGGGCCCCGGCCCTGCCATTGGTGGATGGGAGCGCAGGTGGGCGGAGCCTTGGGAGAATGGACTACTAGCAAGCTAGCTTGAGGCGAGGGCTGGCCATGCTCCGCCGGAAGGCGCCTTGTTCTCCGAGAGGGTGAGTTGAAACGCTGAGTGTGGATAGGAGGAACCCGGACTAGTTCAGGTAGGCTTCCCGCTCACACCCACTTCTCAGTGCTGCTCCCGGAGTTTTTGCAGAAGCGAAGGTCCTTAGGATGACTTCGCTGGCTCCCGCCCCCCCCACCCCTCCCCGTCTCCCAGTTGTGAGGGATCAGGTGCTGGGTGATGCTCTGGACTGAACCATTCTCCTTTGTGAGAGGCTGGGGGAGAGGGCGGCTGCCGGGCCGCGGGCTCCGAGCAGGGCCACGCCGCGAGGGGACTGCTTGGGCCGCTGTGGAGTTTTTAGGGCTTGGCATTGCATTGCTGGGCGTGGTGCAGATCGGAGGCAGCGCCTTGTTCTCCTTCCCCCGTTCGAGGAAGGGAAAACTCCCCGGCTCCGTTTGGTTACTCCGTACTCTGAACTCAGAAGTGGGAGGTTAGGGTTCTCCTTCCTTTCCTGCTTTCTTTTTTTCTTCTTTTTTTCTTCTCTTGTATTTTAATAATGAAGGTGGGTAGGAAAGCCTGAGGTGAGCGCGTGTGGATGGTTATTGTTCTTGCGTAGGAGTGATTTCTCCGGGTCTTGGGGGTGGGGTGGGGTGGTGAAGAGCAAGCTGTCGGAGAGTGTTTGGAGACGGTGGGGAGACAGCCGCTGAAGCCTCGGGTCTCCCTTGACAGGTCTGCAGCGCTCACTGCTTTTCTGTTGCATTATATAAACTTCACCGGCAGAAGCCCCCTCCCCCTGCCTCCTAGCCGGTGCAGTTTCTTTATTTACCTGTCTCCAGTGTCTGCTACTGCAGCAGCTGTGCAAATGCAGCAGCTCAAGCCTCTTCAGGGGCGGCCCTGAAGTCACTGAGGTCTTTGCACAAGAGGTATATATGGTGGGCCAGTCTTTCTTCGGTGACTGAGCGAAGTGAGGCAGAAGTCACAGATTTAGGACTCCATGCTATTTCCTTTTAAAGAATTGAGAGTGGAGCGCCCTGCACCTAAGCCAGGGGAGCTGCATGAGCAGCGTCTGCTGCACCCTCACATCGCATCAGCATGCACAGATCATTCCCATGTCCTCAGTCTGTCCGAGTGTCTCGGGCTATCCTTGGCAGTAGCCCGAAGTCCCTTATGGTATGGAGGCACATCAGATACTAGAAAGTGAATTTGTGATTTGGATAATATCTTCTGTTGAAGGGTTTTCTGGGAATGGTCAACCAGTAGGTTTCAGAACAAATTCTGATCAACCTTGTACGGTCAGAAGTGGAGAACTTCTTATTCAAATATTTTGGAATTGTCCCAGCCCTCAAAAGAAGTTGGGAGAAAAGCAACATTTGCCATTTAAGAAAACCTTTTGTTGCCAGCGTGCAGTGCCAGTGGGCCTGCCAGACAAGGTGAAGGACATTGCCAAAGAGAGGGTAGATGTGTGTGGAGAGACAGCGTTGGAGGGAGGTTTAAAACTAACAGCAAAGGAGTAATGCATTGGGGTAGGGATTTGAGGGAGCAATGTGTGGGGTGGGTACTCCACACAGTTCACACCTTTAACCACATTTGGTCCGTCCTGGCTTTCTGATCTTTTGATTTTGTCAGGTCTCAGATAGACAAAGTCCATTTAGATTTGGATAGAAAATACGTTTGTTTAACTAGTTGGGAATCACTAGGAAATGTAGATCTGGTATGTTCTAGGATGGCCTTCTCTGTAGCACCACTGGATGATTAGGTAGAGGAATTCTGGCATTGTGATACTACTGCAGAATTTTATTGTAACAGGAAAAAAAATTGACTTTATAAGAAGGATTGAGTTTTTGATAGGTAATGGAGGATGATAAGAAAGATCATTCTTTCAAAGAAACCGTTGTACACATTTTTGAAAAGAATAAGAATTTTCTAAACACTTAAGATTAATCTGTGGGTGCCCAAACCACTTGGTTTTGGAAAGGATGAAGTTGGATATTCTCATCTGTATAAGGCCTGTAACACTGAGTTGAATGCTAAATGCTTTAGCAATACTGTTTGCTATTAGCCCTGGAAGAGTTAAGCTGTCTTCTGAGTTTTCATTGAACCTAACACCTAGGAGAAAAACTGAAGGCAAATATTTCTCTGGAGTCTGTACCCTCTGGTTGGTCTACTTCTGGACTTGGATTTGAGCAAGTCCTATCTTCAGGTCGTTGAATGACCTGACCTTGTACTACTGTGACCACACTGGTATTTACCGTTTTACCTTTAGTGTTAGATTCACTGATAGACTGTCCTGTCACTGAACATTCACTGACATTGTGCTTTTGTTGCCTGTTTAGCTCAGACCTTTATTTACTTACTTATTTCAAAGGCAGAGAGACATTTTTTCCACTGGTTTACTCCCTAGATCTCCACAACAGCCGGGGCTGAAACCAGGAAGCCAGGAGCCTGGAACTCTATCTAGGACTCCTAGATGGGTGGCAGGATCCCAACTATTTGAGCCATCGCCTGCTGCCTCCCAGGGTGCATGTTAGCTGGAAGCTGGAATCAGAAGTGGAGCCCAGTGGGTGTCCTATGTGGCATCTTAACCACTGTATCAAATGCCTGCCTCTAGGTGAGACCTTTTAAAGAATGTAAAGAGATTCTGATTTTCAAGATATGATTCCCTTGGTATCTAGAACCAAACTGACAGTCATATTCCTGTGTAACAGAAGTGTTATAAGAACAGTTTTCTTTGCCTGAAAGTTTGTTTGACCATTTGCTACAGTCTAAATTCTGTCCTGCATTACAAATTTTTCCCCTTAACCTCTCAGTTTTATTTTGCATGTATGTATAAAGTCATAATTAGTTCTCTTGTGTGTGTATGTTTTCTATTTCACATATCTTTTAAAATTTTCATTATTCAAATATTTGTATTAGAAAATGAGTCTACCTATTTATAGTTACTGAATGTTTTAAATGTCCATCTTCAAGTTTTCTCATCAGGCTGTTCTGTAGGTAACATTTAATTGGCCCTTTTATTACTCATTACTTTCTGTCCTTCACTGGGCGGTCGCTTGTTTAATGTCGCAGGAAGCAAAATGGTCAGCTGAAAAAATATACCTTGCCTTCAGATTGCAGCAGAAGACTTTCTCAAATAAAGCACTTAACTTCTACCCATTAATTATATGTTATAGGCTAACCAGAAATCCAGGAGGCAAAGATCAAAATTAACCTGATACAGAAAATTGCTTTGCATTTGTCTTCACTGGGACTGGCTGTCTGTCCTGCAGTGGAACAAATAGGGAACCTAGATGGAGTCTAGTGTCTTCACATTCAGATTATCCTGTATATTCTCAGCAGTTTGAAGATTTCCCAGATAAATTATTTACAGTTAATGTACAGTAATAAGAAAGGATTGACTTTGTCATTGAACGAATGAAACAGTTTGGATTTTATTTCCTCTCATTACCTCTAGAGACATGGTATTTGGCTTCTTTTTTTTTTTTTTTTTTTTTTTTTAGGAGTAATTTATTTGAAAAGGCAGAGTAACAAAGAGAGAAAGAGAGAGAGAGACCTTCCATCTACTGGTTCACTCCCTAATGGCAGATAGCTGCAACAACCAGGACTGGGTCAAGCCAAAGCCAAGGGCCAGGAACTCCATCCAGATCTCCCACATGGGTAGCAGAGTCCCAAGTGCTTGGGCCATCTTCTGCCGCCTTCCCAGGCTCACTGTCAGGAAGCTAGGCTGAAAGTAGAGCAGCTGGGACTTGAATCAGCGCTCCGTTATCTGGAATGATTGTGTCTCGAGTGGCGGCTAGACCTGCTGCACCAGAGGACCAGGCCCACAGCTTCAGTTTATTTTGATATTCTCAGAGTATTTGATTTAAAAAAGATAATTAAATGACATGCCACTGAAATAACTAGGTAGTTAATTTCTAGGACTATGCCTCCTTTCTCCCTGTATGTCAGCATCTTAAATGTAGTAGTACTAATTTTTTTTGTAATGTCTCACCATTCTAGTAACTAGTAATCCCATAGCAACACATTTTTGTTTTGAGAGTCTTTAATTTTTTTTAAAAATATTTATCTATTTATTTGAAAATCAGAGTTAGACACAGAGAGAAAGAGAGGCACAGAGAGAGAAGGCGTGAGGTCTTCTATCCTTTGGTTCACTTCCTAATTGGTTGTAACGGCTAGAGCTGTGCTGATCCAAAGCTAGGAGCCGGGAGCTACTTCCAGGTCTCCCATGCGGGTGCAGGGGCCCAAGGACTTGGGCCATCTTCTACTGCTTTCCCAGGCCATAGCAGAGCTGGATTTGAAGTGGAGCAGCCAGGACTTGAACCGGCTTCCATATGGGATGCTGGCACTGCAGGCGGAGGCTTTACCTGCTATGGCACAGCACTGGCCCTGAGTCTGTAATTCTTCTAACACGATGTTAGTAACTTTCTGAGAAAGGATATAAAGTAACTAAGTTCTTTTTTTAAAAAAATAATAACTTTCTTTTAAGATTTATTTTTATTTATTTATTTATTTGAAAGAGTTACATAGAAGGAAAGGCATAGAGAGAGAGAGAGAGATGGATGTTCTGTCCACTGGTTCACTCCGCAAATGGTCACAGTGGCTGGAGCTGGGCCAGTCAGGAGCCAGGAGCTTCTTCCAGGTCTCCTATGTGAGTGCAGGGGCCCAAGCACTTGGGCCATCTTCCAGTGCTTTCCCAGGCACATTAGCAGGAAACCGGATTGGAAGTAGAGCAGCTAGAGCTTGAATTGGCACCCATATAGGTTGCTAGCACCGCAGGCAGCTGCTTTACTGGCCCTGCCATGGTGCCGGCCCCAGTAACTAACTTGTTAATTT